TGATATTTTAAGACTATCAGTTGTGAACTGGTTTATGTAAGGAAACCCCTGAGGGAGAGACATAACTTGCTTTAATGGCACAAATATAATATATAAAAAATAAAGACTATGTGACATATAGGAGGGTTGATGGAGGGGGTCCATCAACAAGAATCAGAATTCTTGTATCACAGGCTTATAGATAATTTTTAAGACTTGCCTTCAACAGACTTAACTAAAGAAAAGATTATATTCAATGATTCTGAGAAGAATTGGCTTTGGGGTAGTGTGTAGTCTTTTCCTGCCAATGAATTTGTCATTTTTATTTCCACTCAAGCAAAACATTCTGTCAAAATAATGATTACTGTCTAATATGCTTTTCATATGTTGCGGTTCTAGTTAGAACTTCAAAATTCCTGTTAAATTAGGATCTACTGGAACTTGGGCTCCCTTTTTATTACCGTTGTCATTATCATTAGGCCCTACTTATTGAGTGGCTGTTATTTGCCAGATAGGGTTATGGACATTATGCATATATTCTCTTAGTTTCTCATAGTTCTGCAAAAATAGATCCTATCTTCACTGTAAAGATGAGAAAATGGAGGATTAGAGAAATGAAGCTAATTATTCAGAGTCCAAAAATCTAATGTGTTGGAGCCAGGGATTCAAACTCAGATGTGCCTCACCCTATAAGCCATAGTCTTTCTCAGCTGACATACGGTGGCCTGTCTTAAGGATGACATGCCGTGCCGTCCTTCCATGGTCTGTGCTCCCATTACGTCCCGACACCTGGGCTGTAGTATTTTCTTTCAACTCGAAGTAAAAACGCTCAATAAACTAAGGAACATTTTTACTGGTTTTGAATTAAGTGGTGGGCTATTTGTCAAAGGGTTCTACTAGTCCATACACTTTCAGATTCTAAAAGTTACAGTTTTTTATATCTTGACTACTGAGCTGTTATCAGTGTATTTTTTAATTATTATTGTGTTCATGGTTCAATTATGAGTAGGAATATATTTGTTATTTATGATTAGGCTCAAATTTTCTCTTTTAATTTACAGTTTTAAAGTGTAAACTAATGATTACTCTGGTTCTAATTTTAGAGGCCAGATCTAGAACATGCAGTAAGTTACCTAGAACTTACCACCTTTCTGCACACATTGTAAACTTAGATTATTTATTCTTCTAATAGCGAAAAACCTGATGTGTTATCCCAGGACTTGGGGATGGAAGGGGAGAAATCACCTGCTGAAGACCAGATGAGAATGAAGTGGGAAAGCCTTCACCAAGAATTTAGTACCAAGCAGAAGCTACTACAGAATGTTCTGGAACAGGAGCAAGAGCAAGTGGTATCAAACGTTTTGCTTTTATATATTAACTAATATAAAAGGTGTACAGNTAGAAATTTGGAGAAGATTATTTTTCCAACTGTAGGACTAAATGGTTTATATTATAATATATGTTTATATTATTGTTGCCATGGAAAGGATCATTTCCCTTTGTGTAGAAAATTTGGAGTTGATCTGAAATGACCTAATGTTAATGGACAGTGGGCAGGGATCTTCCATTGAATATAGATGGTATAGATGTCCATGAGGCCATGCCCTTCAGTTGGGGTTTGCATGAGTCAGGAGACTGGAATATCTTCCTAAATCATGTATGGCCACAAGCACATCCGATCTCAGTGCTACTGACCTGTAAAATGATCCTATCTTTTGAGGCCATTCTTTTTCACTAATCAGACTTCTCTATTCATGTGAATGAATAACCAATTCCTTTAGTTTCCTGCCAAATAGATTCCTTCTCTATATGAAGGGACACAGACTTACTGGCATGGAATAATATCTCTTGAATTACATCTTTCTTCATAAAAGTTTAGATCATTTTCATACAGTATTATCCATCCAGGGAGAAGAGCGTGAGCCCTCCATAAATAATGAAATACTTTATAAAGAAATGTTTTCTGTAATGGTTAGCACTCCCCAATCCTCACTAATCTTCCAAAGAATGTTCCTGGCAAAAGTGGTTCCTGTTCTAGTATTTCCAACATAAACAGCTTGTGTAGCTCCACCCAAGGAGGATTCTGGGGGACAGAAGTCCCTTTACTTCCTGTTCCCTAGAGAGGAGAGAAATCTGTTGTCAGGCCTCAGAGAAAGTAATTACCATTATTTTATTCCTTCTTTCAGTGCCTTCTCATCCCCAAGGGAGCAGGGATGAAATCTGAACTGGATTCTTAATCCTCTTTTGCTTCCTGTGGTCCAAGTGTAATGTTTCACAATGACTAAATCGGTCAGAGAAAAATTCACTCACTGAAAAGCCAACCTAACCACCTAGAGAGTACATGCTAGGCATCTGCTTTTGATGTTGCATAATTTCTTTTTCTCTAAAACCGTGGTAGATTCATTCAGTCAAATAGGACTCTCCTCCTTCGACTTTGAGTGTTCGAATCTGAGTATGTGTCTGTGCATGTAAATGTGGGCAAGCCGTCCTTACAACCTGACATCGCAGCTGTCTTGTTTCCAAGCACAAATTTGGTGTGAGGAACTTGAAAGGAACGTTCTCAGAGAGACAGCAGTTACTGCCTCAAAGTGTGAGGTGGTGCTCTGAGAAGTTACCACGTGAGTCTTCAGGCTGGGCTCTAGAAACAAACCTTTTCTGACGAGCAGAGCAGCGAGGAGGTGACTGGATCCCACAAAGGACAGTCAGCAGGTCATGGCCATGGCCACTGTTTCATCAGCTGGAGCAGCTCTTTCGGGGGACAACTTTCAGTCCTGTACACTAATTTCTTTGGGGTCACTCTCTACAAGTCCCATTGACCGGCTATTTCATCCTTACCGGAAGACCCAGGATCTCTCAGAGCTTCTTCTGGGAGATGCTGCGTTTTCAGATGAGAGAGGATCTGTTTCATGGAGAAATTTGTGGGTGTCAGTCCTGGAAGAGTGTCCGTTTACCCTGCACCTCCCACCTTCAGGAAAGTCACTGGTTTTCTGTGAGAGGCATTCCTGGAGGGCTAGATAATATGCTATACTGGTGTCCCTTCATTCTGAAGGTCCTGTGAAATGCAGATAGCATATTTTAGACCAGTGCCACCCTCATTGCTCTACCTACACCACATGCTCTTGCTGGGAGGCTGGGTCCTCAAGGAAAGGAGTACCTGTGAGCTACTATGGTTCAGAATCTGGGAGAGAATTATGTATAATATTCCCCTCACTTGCTATCCCGTCACCTACTTTCCTGTCCTTTGTAGCTCTTATCACCATCTCTCCTATCTTGTTGGTTTATTGTCTGTCTCCCAGTAGGGCCGTTGTCTGATTCCTTCTTGGCAAAATGCGACCTCCNCGCCGCCTAGAACAATGACTGACAGACAGTGGGTGCTTCATAAGTATTTTGTGAATGAGTTTTGTTAAAATTATATAATTGACCCTTTGACACACACACATACAGCGGGTGCCAAAAAAGAGTATACCATTTTAAGAAAGGAAAACTGTACTAAAATTATAGTACTCAATATATACCAATAACAAAAGATGAATACAAGTCACGTTTTACTTCTGCAATTAAGGAGATGCTCAAAGTGGTTGCCATCAGTGTCCAGGCACTTCTGATTACGATGGACTACTGCTTGAGCAATATTGACCAACGTGTCCACTTGTATACATTTTTTTGCCACCCTCGGGATATGAGTAGAGAGGCTGTCATTCAGAAGTAATTCCATTCTGATATGCAGTATTTTAGGACCATTTAAATTCCAGCAGAATAATCAAACAGGAAGGATAAATTTCTGCCCAGGTAATAAATACAGTAATACCTTGGTTTGCAAGCATAATTCGTTCCGGAAACAAACTACTCGTATTGCAAGGCATCGCTCATTGACCACGTTAAAATGTATTAGAAATGTTTGCTCGTCTTGCAGAACACTTGCAAACCAGGTTACTCGCAATCCAAGGTTACTCGCAACCCAAGGTTTTACTGTAACTACTTTTCTCTTCCTCCTTTAGCCAACCTTTATCGAAGCCAGCAGTGACAGCAGATGGCAGTGGTGTCTGGTCCGGGTGGTGATAGTAGAGGAAGTGAGATCTAGAGTTACTGTGTTCTTGTGGAAGAAAATCTGGAATAATATCTGGTGACCACATCAGTCAGCTAAAAAGCCTCGCCTCTAAATAGGCCGTTTTCCCCCTCAAACATTTCTGAGTGTAATCTATTGACTGTTCTTCCTCCTGCAAATGCCATAAATCCGATGGGTTTTGTGTTACTTTTTTTTTTTTTTTTGGTTTATTAAATGTGGTGTCAAATCCAAATGGGGCCACTCTGGCATTACACGGACCACACTAAAGTACTCCTTGCTCTGTTTTAGTTAAGGTTTTCCTGTGGGTAGCATGACTCTTGATTTCTACCTCATTAAAAGCAGGGAACAGCGCAAGAAAAGGAGGAGAGCGATGCAGACCTGAGTGCCACCCAGAGCCCCGGTGTCCAGGAATGGCTGGCCCAAGCTCGCACCACGTGGGCCCAGCAGCGGCAGAGCAGCCTCCAGCACCAAAAAGTAAAGCACCTCCTACCTCTGTCTAGCCTGCAGGTCTGCCAAGCAAACACCTTGAGAGGAATGCTTTAGAAAGCCAAGTTACTACTACAGTAAAGACAAGAGTACCCTTTAGCGTCTCTGTGGACAGAAGCGAGGCCTGGCTAAGTGTTTCAATGTACTTAGGTGTGACCACTGGAATGAGAGGTCATTTTAAAGTCTGTTCTTTAAGAAAAGCTTTCCAAATAGTGTAACAATTAAAATCTGCCTTATCAAGGTTTACCCACTCTATTTTCAGGCTTGCCCGAATTTGAGTCTATTTTATATAATATAAACCTCAGGAAGGCCTCTGAGAATTGGTTAAATTCTGAGTTACGTTTTTGTTTTTTTTTTAAAGAAACGCAACTGTCACGTAGCTACCGTCACAAAATAGGTTTGCAAAGTATTGCCTAGTGAAGCAAAATGAGCTTTGAATGAGAATGATTTGGATAAGAATAAGAACGATTTCTCGTTGATACCTCATAGAGGGCACATTAAAATATTTTACCTTTTCAAAGAGTGAAGACATTTATCATAAATAATGAAAGAGTAACACCAAATCCACTGATAATCCAATGTATGGAGTAAGTGGGGAACTAAAGAGCCACTTGCTCGCAAGGATCCATCTTAGAACAAGGCAGTATTGATTTTGAAAAGTCAAAGTGCATTTTGCACCACTTGAGGGCACCATTGCCCAGCAAAATTTTCGTTTCCCATTGATTTTTTTTTTTTTCCCCCTCAAGATTTTTCTGGTATCTTTTTATCAAAGCCAAGAAAGCTAGAGTACTTTGGAGAAATGTTTGAGCTTTTACCTAAACCACACCTTTTTTTACATTTTTAAGTTTAATGTGCAAACTTCAAAACTGCAAGACTTCTCTCATAATTGTATAGACATAGAACCATGAGTATCAGCGATGTTTCTGTTTGTCCTTTTCCCCCTGAGCAGGAGTTGGAACAGGAATTGGCAGAGCAGAAGAACCTTCTCCGGTCGGTCGCCAGCCGTGGAGAGGAAATTCTAACCCAGCACTCGGCGGCAGAGACTCCTGGTGGTGTTGGGTATGTTTCTGAACACTTTATCTCTTCTTGTTACTGGTTTCCTGACATTGGAAGCAATGTAAAAACACCTCACTCAAAATTTTATTTTAAACATCTGCAAAAACTTAATCATTTTGTTTTCCCTTTATGATATTAAATTGACTTGCATTTTGAACGTTGTGCATTTTGAACGGTTCGTTGCACAACATGAGTATAGCTAGTAATTATGATGGCTAGCTTGTTTGCCCTCTTTCCAGTATGTTCAGTATATCTGTCCAGAGAACATACCTTGGGATTCATTCTTTGAAGTCAAATAAGAAATGCATAATAAAATTGGATCCATATTGTGTGTTCTCCACCCAGAGTCAGTTCTCACCCCAATAAACTTTAATTAAAAAAATAAAAATAAAATTGGACCCATGATGTTTCTAACTGAATATCCAACTGCAAAACCTTGTCCCTACAAGAGCTTATTTTGCCCTGACACCCTTCTAAAAACTGAATATATGTGCCTACTAAATGTCTTGACTTTTCTTAAATTATTTCTATGATTTCTACATGCAAAGTCATTCAGCCCCGAGTTCTGGTTTGGAGTGGAGACTGAAAGTCACATACACAGAGAAGTAAAGTGTGAAAAACAAAAGTAGGGAAGTGGAGCGTCTTCCCGTTGAAGATTTGGTTTAAAGGTAGAAAGGAAAAGGCACTGCAGCACAGCGGAGGTAGCCCTGTGTTTCCGGTCAGGCCTGCGTTGTACTCAAGTTGTACAGCTGTCACCATGGGAAAGAGACTCAGCTCTGAGCCCCAGTTTGCTCATCTATAGAATCGGAATAATGACCGACCACCTTCATCACTGAAGGGTCGTGAAAGTTGTGAATGTCAACTGAGGGGATATATAGGAAAACTTTCTTCAAAATCTAAAATAGTGGAGAAAAAGTTTCAGTGAAAACTCTGTGTTCATGTATTGCTAAAGGTTGTAATTTAGTGGTATTCTTTGGCAACAGTAAGATGGTGAATAACTTTAACTCCATTGACTTCAGTGTTCTTATTTCTAAACATTTATTGGGAGGAAATAACCTACGGGAGGAAATACATATTATGAAGATAATTTTTGATATATTATTTATGATATCAAATAGTTGAAAAGGTAGACATGCCCACAGTATTAAAAAGCCTAAGAAAAGATGTATGTGTATATAATCTTAACAAAAAATTACATAATAGTATCAGCAAATGTTTATGTGATACTAAGTAAAAATGTGATATGAAATTGAATGTGTAGTGTATGTATACATGTGGGTAAGAACCAGACTAGAATGTAGATTATCAAAAGTAACTTTGGAGAGGACATATTTGGAGATTTTTCTTTTCTTTCTTTTTTTTTCCAGTTTAGTCAATGCTGACATATGTCGCTGACATGTGACATCAGTGTTGACTCTGTACATATATACACCTATATGGTGTGTGTGTGTGTGTGTGTGTGTGTGTGTGTGTGTGTGTGTTTAAGAATTTCAAGGGCAAAATGATAGGGAGAAACCAAACTAAAAGGCAAGTGCAAGAGACATATTATGACAAATTATGTAGGAAATAAGAGAAGGCATTCAAGAAAAGAAAAACAAAACAAGAAACAGCAAAAATATTGATACAATGAATAAGTATCAATTTAAAAGAATAGGAGTGAATGCTACTATGACACCTATAGTCAGGAATTCCATTAAAATAACCCTAAATCTATAAAAATCGTGCTAAAATATAACAGGGTTTGAGAAATCTCTTTTGTCCATCAGGCTTAAAAATGCTGTTAAAGCCATAAATATGTGTCTGTATGAATCCAAAACGGCAAAGCTGTTCCTTCTGTGCTGACTCTGCCTCCAGACTCGCTTTCATTTTGCATCTCCCCTTCTGTTTCCAGCTCTTTTAAGATGTTTATTCATCCCTCATGGTTTTCTGAATATTTTTGCCGAACTCTATTTTTACAAAGAACCCATTCACACATTGCCTCCTCTTCACAAAAGGAAGCAGTGGGAATCTTCTGAAGATACATTACCATGATTTTTTTGTTGTTTTGTTTTTGTTTGTTTGTCTTGTTTCTGGCCCTTAGCTTTGGAAAGGACCGAGATGAAAGGCAAACAACCACAAATTGCTCTGACAGATATGAAAATATTTGTTGTGTGATACTGACTTTTGTACAAGATTCACTTTAAAGACTGCTTATAAATTCTTTTATTTTTATACAAATTCTTTAGAAAACTCACCTTTAAATCTAATTGATTATAGTTTAGCCATGCCTTCCAAGCCACTAGATAAATATACTACGCAAACAACTAAGCAATATTAGCCAAATAGTTAAGCAATATTCAGAAGCCATATAGCCATATATATGTACACAGAGGGTGCCAAAAAGATGTATACACATTTTAAGAAAGGGAAACTGTATTAAAATTGAAATACTCAATATATACCGATAACAGAAGATGAATACAAGTCGCGTCTGACTTCTGCAATTACAAGAGGTGCTCAAAGTGGTTACCATCAGCGTCCAGACACTTCTGATTACAGCAAACAAATGACTGAGCAACGTTGACCAAAGTGTCCACGTGCATACATTTTTTTGGCACCCCTGGTGTCTGGATCTATATCTGGATATATTACTATATCTCGATATATATAGATATATATGGAATAAACATTATATTCAGCCCTTATTGTATTAGCTGATATTTTAAGACTATCAGTTGTGAACTGGTTTATGTAAGGAAACCCCTGAGGGAGAGACATAACTTGCTTTAATGGCACAAATATAATATATA